CAGTTCACATGTCCCTGAGTCATGTGCACTTTCTCAACAGCTAATACAGTCAAGGTACTTTCGCTGTACAGAGTAACCCCACCTCCCTTATGGTTTATTCAGTGAGTCCCATGGATGAGCAACCAATCAACTGAATTTCACTATCGAACACTTCTATCGCTAACCATGTTCCCGAGACAGCAATAATATCCGGTTTTTCTATATCCATCATTGTCTTGAGCTCCGCCATTTTATTTAGTAGGCTGCGAACTTCTGTGTAGCACACATTTAATTCTGTGGAGAACTTCCTCTTACCACCCAGAGTAATTTGTGGATCGTTTCGCTTCGAACATTTGCAATTTCAAAACCATTAAGTACGAGGTTTACCTCACCATTTCGGCGATGCTCATTTATTTCTACCTCTGCATTTCGTTTCTTAATACGGCCAACCAGGCTGAGATCCTCATGGACGTAGATTCCGGATCCATTTAGTTCGCATGAGTTTCCCAGTATCAGGTTTTTTTCTTCAATCGTAGCAAAGGTAACCTTTGAGAGGCAGCTTTTCTGAAAAGTGTCAGAATCTATCTCTTGTCCTATTCTATAAAGCTTACAGATGCTAACTCCTGAAACTGTTTCTGTGAGTAGCTTGCTTATTAAGGACTTGATATGACTGAGGTCGTGCTCAAATCTAGATTTGGTTTCTCTTCAGAAGATTCTCTTGACTTATGAAAAATGAATGACTTCTAAGTGAGGTCCGTCTTAACATGTTGTGGAATTTTAGTTCCTGAAATCGTCTCCTCCATGCAATCCAATTCCAATTTAGTGTCAAACGCAGAATTCACATTCTGTTTTCTTACTTTTCTCTTCCTAGGTGTGATTGAGAGCCACTTAAAGGTGAAACTTCTGTAAACTTCCCTCAAACTTCAAGAACCGACAAAAGGATTTGCGGACATGAAGGTGTGGTATTGGATTGTTCAGAATTAGGTATATCTTGAGGCGCCTATGTTATTTCTCATTTAGTAATTTTCAGTGCATGTTTAAGCCTAAGATTCATAAACCTGAGGTTCTTTTACGCGCAATTCTGGATATGTCAAACTCACCATACCATTCAACAGCAAAATTATTAGTGAATTTATTCAAAGCATAGTACCAAGAACTGGTTAAGCATAGTGTTAAAGATGTCTTTGAATTTGTGGATACAATTAGAAATATTAGTATAAACGGTAAAACCATGTTATCACTAGACATAACATCTCTGTTCACTAACATCTCTCTGACTAAAACTGTCGATCATATATGTGAACAGTTACTAGAAAAGAAAAGAAAGATACCGATCCCAGTATATAAAATAAAATTTTTAACTGCTGAAAGATGGAACTAGCGATAGAATCAGAACTGATCGTCTCAAAGCCGCATATTTGTGAGATCATAATATTGTCGATTTCCTCTGGCATGATCGAACGACACGAGCCCCACAATAACGATACCCCACTCGACAATCGACAGTGAAGACGAACTTCATCGGTATCTGACAACCGACCCGAAATAACGTCTTCTGAAAGAAGGGTACATTTTGGGAACACCAGAAAGATAACTACACGTAAGACAACATAACACTTTGTTTTATCACGTTATTATTAACTTTTCGTATCGTTTGTTTTGAAAAACTAAAACCAATTTTTAGCTTATATGTTTATGCATGTATATGTATACATTGCAGAAAAAAGTAGTTGTGCAGAAACTGTTACACGCTATAGTGTCGGTTGCTATATTAAATCAACACAGCTTATTCTAGCTTCCAGACAGGCCAATTTATTCCCTTTTCGTGAGTTACATTTTGACCTTGTCACTTGTTCGCCTATAAGCCTTAACCATTTTTAATGTATGCGTATGCGTGTTCGTTTGTTACCTTACTCATCACGTGTCTGCAACTTACTTTTGTCTGACTATAAATATCGATTTACGCTTGGCTAAATGGAGTTTGCTCACACGCTTTCTCCACATCACATCAAATCGTTTCGCTTCATTCATTTGATCGTCTGTCTAGATCAAAGATGGTATGACATATACGTATTTGAAATCCATTCTCATACTTGACCTATTTGATTCCGTTGTTCACTGGCGCGATTTAAGTCGATAATAATATACGAGGATTGGCAACATGTGTATTTCAGTAACAAGCAGCAAACGATCTAACTAGAGTCGAACGTATGGCCACTAAAACGCTGTTTCATGTATGCGAAACTCATGTATGCCAATTTATTTCTTTTTTTCTCCCGTTTTATGTCCTTTTGCACGTACGCGTGCAATTCCACACGTACTCACACATCCTTTCTCTTTTCCAGGACGGCTAAAGATCATGAAAAAATCGACGACGTTAAGGCTGAATCGAAATTTTATCGTACCTGTTTTTCATTATTATATTGTACCACTTTGTCCCTTATATTACTGAGAGACGACTAAACGCTCCTGAACATAGCAAGCTATCAGAATAGTGTTTATGAACGACAAGCACATCGGGTTCGAATTTTTGAATGGTTATGTGTTTGGGTCATCACAGCCTCACTGTGGAGGGAGTGATTTGTAGAGGTAAATAAATCCCATATACAATAATTCTGTATGTCTTCGACATTCAATATTGACTGCATTAGTTTTACTAGACTCACCTAACTGGAGGTGTCCGATCAAGCATCCGCACCAGGTCACAAGTGTATACCATGCTAAACATCCCTTGCAACATCAAGCCAACTTGGACCAAATCTTCCTCCACATACCATCAGCCTTTGAAATATATCTTCGAACTCCTTCATTTCTGACTTCTGATTTGACTGGGCTGGCATACTTCGATTATAAAAAACGTATCGGGCAAAGGTGTTGTCAATCTCCGTATACTTACGGCGTCATTAAATGTATCAAAGCAAAGGTATTAAACCAAGGTTCAACGTATCTGAGCACACTGGTTTTCAATCCTAGTTGATTACAAGTACCACTGTTGATGGACTTGGATTGAACGCTTTTTCAAGTTTGTAGGACACGTTTGGTGTTTTTTGGTAAATCCGATATCAGATATCGAACCGCACTTGAAGTGCAGTCATCATCTCTGATGGTCTGAAAACAGTTTGCCATAAATTTCTTCAACGCCATGCTAATTTGTTCCTCCCGGTATATGAATTTTTGTAGACAGTTCAACGTCATTACTCCTTTGAAGAAATGGATTAACGATTTCACTTCTTTCACATACCATCGTTATCCATTTTATGGAGTATATATTCTCATTGCAGTTGTTTTTAGTTGTTGCTGCTATTAATACAAAGTAAATTACTGCTAAATTGAATTGTTGAATATCGGCTTTCGTTAGAAAGTTGACTGGTTGAAAGCAAGTTATGTATTTTTCAGGAGTATTGCTCGCATTTTATTGAACTTTTTGTTATATGTCGACCTGTTACAATCGAGGGGCTTGGTAATTTCACTGTTGTCCTAAGTCTACGAACTTTCTCATATACTTTTACTAAACTCATCTGATAGAACAAAGGAGGTATCCATTGATAGTGAATGAAAGCGCAAAGATCATGCAATTTACTTGCATGCAGCAAGCTATTTGTGATTGCCACCAAGCATACATTAACACTGCTAACAAGCAAATAAAAAATTCTTGATTTTTAAATTTCAAAACTTTCTAGTGTATAAATATTGTTGTTTTGGTACTGTTCCTAAACAAAACGTTGTTTTTCACAGACCCCGGACGATGAAGATTTCCTTCCCATCCTCAGACATCGTGGTTGCATTTCATGCCAACAGGCACCTGTTGCCACCTGATGTTTATATACATCCGGATAGGCCACACGATACGAGGATAAAGCACAAAGGTTAGTTGGGGCTAACTATTCCACTTGTGGACTGCCTAGGTCATAAAAAACGCAGAAAACAATGGGGCTTTATGTAGTTAGGTTACCTGTCTATTCACACAAGGCTCATACAGATAAACAGGATGGGGAAGTTCATGTGCTTCAAATTGAAACCATAAACTGCTTATGCATGAACATCGCGAGTTTATCGAATAAAATGGTTAAGCTGCATGAACTCAGTAGTACTAATAATACTCATCTGATAGGAACATCTAAGTTTACGGACCAAGAGCCAGCAATCCCCGTATGTCTTTGTTACGCAGTGACATAAAAGTTGGGTGGATGACAACGGACCTACACCACAAAGTGTAAAGAAGCCCATGTGAGACATGTTGCAGACTACAGCTAAAACTTAGACAACTCCCATTTAGAAGTATCACGAGTTGAAAAAGATTTTGAAGGCTGGTACCCCATGATTTGAAGTCTTACACTAACTGTAACGAAAATGCCTTTCGAGCAAACATTGCACTGGTAACATTGAAGCTCATTTTGGCCAGTTCGACGGTAGAACTTTACACATAGTCTCCAACAGTTCCATTCGTCCCCATTTACACTGCGGAAACATAGTATTTCCTCCCTCATTCCAAAATGATAAGGACACTCTGGAATGTACCCAACGGCGAGCCACGAAATCAGTTCGGGGACTCAAATTCAAGCCTTATGAAGAGCGCCTTCAATCACTAAGTCTCTACCTGTTGAGCTACAGGAGTCATAGAGCTGACCTTTTAATTGCTAACAGTATCTTTATCACTTATGAGCATCCCCTTAAACATCTACTTAAGTTTAGCTCCAATACAAACATTTGGGAGTAACACCCAGGAACTAGAAATACAACTCGGCAGAACGGCTTGTAGACATGACTTCTACTCTCTAAGAGTTGTCAACTTCTGGAATTCGCTGAGTTCAAATGACTTCCCAGGAGTCCTTCAAAAGAATACTTGACATACTCTTAAGGACTAAGGATAAAATCTTACTATCATTTACCAATATCTTTTTCTACTTTTCTCTTTAATATACCTAGATTCCTGTCCTGAGTTATTGGTGACCCTATGCTACTATATACGGAAGCCCGTTAAGTGAAAGCTTCTTCCATTCCGTCCACAACCGATTGACCCATTTGAACAATTTTAAGTAAGCGGCATATTCGAACAGGCTGCATTACTTGCGATTTTCTACTAATTTCTCTCAAATAACCGACGTAAGGTGTAAAAACGGACATTTCTTCTTGTTTACGCTTTATGTTGATGTTATGTTATTCCGAGCTATGAAGTGATGTGTTTTTGTCACTTTCATTCACCATTTTACTATTCTGTCTCAGACATGTCTTCAATTAAAAGAAATCTCCTATGAGAATTTATTGTTTCTGCCGTTTGCTTCATATAACCATCACAAACAGTTTCATACCTTAAAAAATTTCCAATACTTTCCTCAGAGATATTCGTAATTTTAGCTTGTATTTTAGTTCTTTCAGTTGTGATCTAGATCCATTTTTAATTACAAAACTTGGAGCCATCTAAATCCATCTGTTAGTTTGGAGCCATTTGCGAAGAATTCTGCAACTTGTGGTTATTTAGAAAAAAAGATGTCTCCGGAGAATATGGATAATATTTGCACTCAAGGTAATATCTGCAAAATGCTCTAATGGATCCTTCAGATAAACTTGTTTCGACACAAAAAGTTAGTAAAGCAGCTCGTCGTCGTGAAAAACGAGCTGCTCTTCAACATGCTCAACAGACAGCTGCTTTAATGAATATACAAACAGATAGATCTAATAGTCTTCGATCTATTGAAATGAAAAAGTTAGAAAAAGAACTTTCAGCCCGTCACCTATGTTTATTTGAAGTAAGCTTTTTCATAAAGATGCGAACAAATTACACGTTTAGTATACTTGTGGTTATTTATATCACCATGAGGCTTGCTAATTTATTTATGGTGAATTATAGAACTAAAATATATTCCTTCTATACGGCTTCAAGACATGAGAAGCACCTAATGGAACACAACCAGAATTCGGTCGGTTCTTAGTCGATCTTGATGATATAATCTGTCAAGGCTTAAGTGTTTAAAGTGCCTTCTGAAATTAGCCAAACTCTGTTTTGGAAACACATGGATGAAATCTTCGTTATATGTGATAAAGGTTTTGTTGTTGTTCAGTTATTAGATAAACTCAATAACGTACATAATAATATCGTACTAACATAAGCGGAAGAAAGTAATAACCGATTACTCTTCTCGGACATGCTCTTGAATTGATGGGTGGACGAAACAAAAAGGTGGTTAGTTTATAAGTAGCCAACCCGACCTCATCGATGTTTAAATTTCCAGTTTCTGTCTATTGCAACATAAGCGAGGTTTGGCAAAGCACCTTTTTTGACAGGACTCATACAATATATACCACGTATATACGTTTGAAGAAGATACAAAACTGCTGACCAATACACATACCAAACGGGTACCCACTAAATTTCATAAATAGGTGCAAAATTCTGTTAACACCAAAACCCCTTTAGTTCTGCTGCGAAGAAAAATGCTTATACTTCTCTACCACTTAATGGTGGATCTAGCAAGGTGATTTACAGACTGACTAAAAGCAGCCATTGAAAAACATATTACGCTACTAAATTGGTTGTGATTGAAGTGACTAAGCCCGTGATTTTAAATGGACCTAGACGCTGCACGAACGATCACGTCACATCCCATTGCACTTACTAATTTACATTTTTGTGTGGACACATATATAGGGGAGAGTAATCGAATATTGCAATCAAAGGTTATGGAAATTGTGCCTAGATGGCTTCAAAATCAGTTCATGTCAAATGTTCCGGTAAACGTGGTAAGTAGAAAACAATGTTCATCGTTACAAAAGTATACAATTGAAACGGCACTTAGGATTTACATTAATACGGCTTTTAGGATGTTATATAGAAATTGTCAAGGATGAATTCTCAGGTTTATAGAAGCCTTATCTTTTTCGCAAATTCAAGTCATCTTATGTGCCTTTAGTTTTATTGTTCCATAATTGTTAGTTCATATTCGGTTTGATAAATCCTCATTACATTTTGGATGTTCACTACCTCAATCTTCTGTGACTGTCATTGTTTTGCATGTGAAATATTGGTCGATTTGTAATTGCTTTTGTTGCATGTAAGTGTATCTGTTGCTTACATCATATCTATTGTAACATCCGGTATTTTTTAGATTCCTCTGGGTAGCTAGTTGTGTTGTTACGAAAAGATTATATCTGTCTTCTGGTTGAATTTTTCAGAGACTATGCCATTGATGATTCTTCCATTCTGATTTTTTTACGAAATAAGTTTAACTAATGAATCCCACATAAGTATCATAATAAATATATTCGCTAGTAGTTTTATGGCATGTTGAAATACTCATACCCAATCATTTTATGGTATTAGAAAATTTGAGTGTATAGGGATTTATTCTTGACAAGCACAATTTATTTGAAATGTACTTCGTGATCCATAGTAAATAACAGAAAAAGCCACAGGTATGTTTTGTTACAGACGTTTCCGACGACTTCCTTATTTGCATTGTAACTACAGACTTGGTGTTTTTTAAATTACTGGAATTTGAGGGCAAGATTGTTGACTAATCTATTGAAAAGACTTGTACATGTGTCATGCCTCCTAATTTTCATCGGGATACAAGCAGACCTACTCAAATGAAGACGGACACATTGAAGATTTCAGTATTAGTAAATATAACGTATTTTTCTAAACGATGATCATAGATAGATGTCATAAAATAAGTATAGTTTGTAGTAACTTATGTGTATGGTGACCTATTGATTAAAGCACTTGACTTTCTCAGGTCCAAAACCTTCTTCAACAGGTTTGTATCATTAGCTCAGACAAAATGTCTTACCCGAAACCGGGTAAACGATATTAGTGCAATGTTAACACCCCAATATTTATTGGTCAACTCCTGTAATTTGTTTACCGAAACATACGCGCTTCATTAATATCTAAATAAGACAGAAACAGTCGTTATAACTTCTACCAATGATTCTTTTACTGTTCTTTCTTTATATTATTTATTCTGAGGTTCCTTCAGATGGAGATTGCCTTTATCAGTCAATTGGGCATCAATTAAAAATTCGGAATTATCCATTACACACATTAATAGGAAAGATTGAAATGTCTAATCCAGAAATTCCTAATGATATTACTACCGATCTGACAATGAAACAAGTAGTGAAAATTTTGCGTCATGTTGCATCGTATCACATTCGCAAAAATATGGATGATTTCCTACCATTTTTGTTCAACCCAGATTCTGGAGAACCAATGAGTATAGGTATTCTAGTTTAATTGATTGTCGTAATTTCATGCACATATTTCTCAAAAAAGTTCTTTTTTAAAATATAATTCAGTTATTACGACTTATTTAGCTTAAAAGGTAGATCCCATCAACTGTGGACCTGTTAAAAATAAATTAGCACTGAATCGCTGTTTACCTTCACATTCCCTTATTCACAACTTCACACGTAGTCGTATAACCCCCAGGAGACTTTTATTTGTTGCACTGTACACGATATGACTGGTTGAGTGAGTGATAACAGATATTAACTTTTTTATTGGTCAAAGGGATAAGTAAAAATCATAACCTGTCTGCTATGAACGTGTTGAGTATAGTGTAGCGTGACATCTCGGATAAAAACGCAAATATAGTAAATATTAGGGCTAAAAGTAATATGTGGTGAAAATCACACTAATATCTAGCAACCACCTAACAACCGAGTAGAGAATCGACCGAATACTCGAAGTACGACATAATTAGTGAAAATCGCAAACAAACTCAGTGATAAAAACTTATTGAATTATTTAAATGATCAACTGAATGCAATAATTACCTCGTACTCTGTTGTATTGATGGACTAAATTTATGGTTTGAAAACTACAACTTTATATGTTGATTTATTTCTGTCCCCTATTCTAGTACTCACTAAAATCAGGAAAAGCTAATTTATCATCTCAGTCGTATATGTTTATTTAAATGTGTACTAATTAATTTAATTCATTACAAATTATTTTTTTAAATTATGCCAAACCCTTACAGTCTTGTATCGATTTGGGTATTTTAAAACACTTCATCATATTTAACATGATTCTGTAGTTTGTGAATTCTTTCGTGTCATTCAAGATCGAGATTCTCTTTATCTGACTGTTGTCACTGCCCAGAATCGTTTGTTCTGTCTTAGGGCTATACCTTTGAAATAAAGCTAGTTGTTATATTACTCGTCTGGTCTAAATTGTAACTGCCCCCAAATGCCCTGGTATGGCCGGAGTGGAGAGAGTCCGCTCTCCCTCTCGAAATGCTCTCACATGACCACGCATATACAGCCTCTACCAGGGAAGTCCTACTCACTGCCTTCTCGTGGCGGGGTGTTGTTTTCGAAATTGAGAGGACGAAAGCGAATATCTGACGCTCTAATTGGGTTGTTGGATATGGGGGATTGTTATAACCTCTTTCTTCTTACGGTTATGACCCAGCTATTCCTATTGCTTAGTATTCTCGGACACCGATTCACTCGACAAGACCCCAAATCAGAACATGGTTGAACAGGAAAGAGATTATATTCCAAATAACAAGGTTAGATGGAAGCAAGATGCAAGCCAGAAGCACAATAGAGAAAACGTCAGTATATTTATAGTTTTTTACATGAGAAGATTCTAGAATATTCTCCAACTATCTACTAGTGCTGATTGGATAAGAATTAGCCAATCAGCGTGCACCAAAGCAATCATGCATTGAGCATGCTTTAATCTAGTCTATGTCCCGCTAACAGGGATCCACGTGGGGGAGTTGGAAGACTGACTCCGTGGACCCGGGTTTCGTGTTACTTGGCACTCGTCAGCAAGATGTACCTATAATCTTGAGGGAACTGGTGCTCCCTGACGGATTCGATCCCGTGTCACCCAACTTCACAGTCAGAGACTTTACCACTGAGCTATCCGGGCCGCGACCGACCCTAATCGTTCCGATTACTGCTTTTACTTTTACTACCTCTACCACTACGGGATTCGAATCTACAATTGTATCTGCGTGTTAATGTGGTATGGCAGCTCGAACCGATGTACGTACGTACGAAGTTCTACGTTGTTGACTGACCAAAAAAAGTCACCTAAATATTAGTGTAGTTGAAGAGGTTATGAGAAAGCGAGGAAGAGCAGTAAAATGTCTCAAAGTCTCTATCATGTACCCATTTTCTATCTTTACTTATTACCCTATGCTATCCTGACAGTTGCTACTACCTTGACGTAGTAGTCGGGCTTGACTATCGTTATGAACCACTCGGGTTATACTGGCTGGAACAATCATTCTTCAAGGTCCTACCATGCCAGATAGGTCGGCAGCTCAACCAAGGTCTGAGGGCGAAGTCGTACTGCTGACTGTACTGAGGTGTGACGTCAGCAAAGTGTATCCTTCAGACGACCAGCATGACAGCGATACTGCCTTCCCACAAGGAAGGGTGAGGTTAGGAAAGGTCAACCCTAAAAATGCGCACCTCGCCTTATCCAACAGATTTCTGTATCCGTCGGTAAGATCCCAACAAGTACACTAAAATTGCTCGCAAAAAAGTCGTGTGTAACCGGCCTCAAGCAATTGTCCCTTAGGCATTGCAGTCACGCTCTCAGGTCACTAAGACCACCTCTAAACGAATTTCCTTAACAGATACCTCTAGAAGAACCCTTCCACTGTGTGGGCAACCAGGAAGTGGTAACCGCCCTCACACCTATATCAGCACTCAAGACTGACTGACCCTTTGCCTAACTTCACCATAACTCACTCGGTTTTATTAAAATACACAAGCAATACTTCAAAGACATGTATGATCGAAAATAGTAACCTGTAAATATCCTCTATTCTTAACTTCTATGTTTCACACCCGTAAAGTAGAGTAGAGTGAACTGCTGTACAATAAACTCATTCTTTAGTTGGTATACAAATATCTCGCTTTCTGAACTCATGCGGAGATTTCGTTGCACAACACCGCATCAGGGCTGATGAAACTTTCAAGATAAGTGAACCAGTCAGCCCGATAAACTACTTTTTGGCTCAAATCTGAGTAATTCCATGCAGTTCTTTCCATTGATGAATTTGGATAAGGCAAAACAACAAATGTGCCTGGTTAATATGAATTTATTTATGATGCGGACTCTGTTCACTTGCTTACATATTAGAAATAACAGGAATAATAATTTGAAACCAATACCAATCTATTATAGTAATGAAAATTGGTGAAATAACCACAATACTTACGGAAGAGTTATTAAAGTTGTTAAGTGGTTGGATATCTGTATGTTAACTAGTGTGAAAATTGTTGAAGGAAAATGTTGAAAACACATGGAAACAACGTTCTAGGAAATGAAGAGTGCGTAACAGAAACTTGAAATCGATAGGTTTATAGAGTAAAGTGAAAAGAACTTTAAAGAACGATCTAGAAATTAAAAAGTATATATATATAATATGCAATTAAACGTCGAAGCTGAACTCACTAGTAAATATCATAAATATTCAACTATTTGAATATTTTATAGTTCTTCATATTTGTTGTCCTTTTTACCAATCTTCATTTAAACGTTATGAATAATGTACCCTGATTTTTGATAAGTATTAATAATAAACAGAGTATGGTAATGGGTAGCAATGAAATACAGGACATCTGTTTTATCCTTTTTGTAACCCAGCCGAATATGAGGTCACCTCAGTGTTGCTGTTCACATCGGGACTCAAACCAATTATCGTTCACTCAAATGCCGTCGCGTTATCCACTTAGCCACTGGTTTGCGTGTTGGGACGAATTTCAACTTGTATGTATTGTTTGTTCGAATCTTCTAATCGATTTCGAGGATTGCAGTTGTTTAATGTCTTTTGGCAAATGTGGATTCTATGCGCATTGCCCTTATCTTACTATTAAGTCACCAAGATTTACGATGAGTTGGTTAGTGGCTAGCAATGGTATCCAAGATGCTCCTTTCGTCCCATTTAGGACTCGTCGTCTGCTTCTAGTGGTTGTGATTTAATGGCAATATCGAGGCATTATGCACATATGTCGAACGAGACAAATTAATTTTGATTCTCGACATCACCAATCCGAAGATTTAAGCAACCATTACATTAAAATATTAATGCTGTTTCTAGATTTTAATCAGCTAAAGACAACCCATGGATGAAAATGAATTCATATAATTCTACTATTTTGTTGCTTTTGCTTTAATCCAATCTGAGTATATTACTTTATAACTTTAATTGTTGAGTTGCAGTAATTACTCCCAGTTACTTTTTTCACTATGGACATTTCCATCTTTTGATATATAGTATATTCACCTGAAAAAACTGATAAATTAATTCAGCTAACTCCAACAAAGTTATTAGCTAGATATCTTAAAGTATAAAAGAGTTAATTTAAATAACTACGCATCTTCAATCAATGATTCATTAGCTAATCAAGACAAAATTAACGCTATGATGATATTCAAGTGTGAAGAAATGGTAATATCATCGTCATAATGTGAACTAATAATATGCTGAAAGCTAATTTTAGTGAAAAAGCTTTAGTTTGCAAAGACGCTCATTAAATCACAGAGGAAAAATAATATGTTCAAGATCTATTAAGAGGAAGACAGTGTATTAAATACAACTGTGATACATCATTTGGTCTTAAAAAACCATGTCACTCACGCCTTTAATCATATATAATAATTATTTCATTTACTTCTAACCATGAAAGTTTCAACCACTAAGATCACTTAAACTATCTTATATACTGACTGCCTAAACTGACGCCATGTCCAAGTTTAATCTCGTCTCATCTTTTACAGTTCTCTCATATACTAGCGCAAGCACTGATTTTCTGCATCGGTATGTAAAACATGTCTGTGTTCTAACCCACTAACTTATCCAGATTGGTTATAAGTTATAAATGGTTGTCAACTAACGCTTTTTAACTGTATGTTTATGATGTATATTACAGTGAATTTATTTAATCTCTGCAGTCCTAATGAAGTAAAATTTTCATCTTTAATAATCAACAATAGTTGTAAGAGTTTCTTGAAATTATGATTAAACTTGAAAATATTCATTTTGAATCGTAAATATACTGAATAACATTGTAAAATTTTTTTGACAATTTCACTTTCCTCTTATTTGAAGCTAATTTTGAACAATATTGTGACAATATAGAAAAAACATCAACGTGGGGTGGACAAATTGAAGTTAGTAACAGTGCTCTTTTCATATTTTTTTGTCTATTGACTCATATGTTTTGTTCTTGTTGATTTGAGAAATTAATGTGTTTATTTGTCAGATAATCTACTGTTGAATTGTATTTAATTTACCCTTCTTGTATGTTGTTTGTATTGAGTAATAATTTCCTCTAAGATTGTGTTACACATGTGTTTCTCAGATCACTTGTAATTTAGTAACTAATTTGTTTATAATGTGTATTTTTACAAGGTTGACTTGTGATTGTTTATATTTTATAGGAGATGCATCTGTTTCCTTAAGGTTGTATACATGTTCTTCCAATGAGTCTGCTATTTACTGATATGTAACACTATTATTCACTATGCTATTGTAAATAACTTAGCAGTCACATTCCATTCACTCTCTATGGTTAAAAATTTATTTCCATTTTGAATATGGATGATTGTTTTACAAAGTGATTACTTAAGGTTAAAGATAGTCTTCGTCATGAACTGGACTTCTGAAAGCTATACAGTGCTAGACATAGGTTTTTGCATTAGGCACGGCTCTTTATAAATAATCTCCCTTTGCGCCGCACTAGTTCGAACCCTGGACCTCCAGGTATCATGTAGAGTTCGTTGACATTAGAAATGTGAATCACCAAATTTTCAACCAATGGTATAGATGTATCATACCACGCAATAAAGGTTTTCGTTCATTCCCGTATTGGGATAGTGGGTGATCACATTAGGACGAAACGACTGTCCAGCCCTACTTTGTTTCCATGCTTCTCTAAGTAGTGTTATTTTGCGATGAAAGCTCCCTACCTTCTTTTTTTCTCTTCCCATTCTCATTGTTTTGTGTGGCACTTATATATTTGGTGCCCTCTTGTACCAATATTTATGTGTTCAAATAAAATAATACATTTTTGTAGTTAAAGTAGTCTCCACAATCTGATCCACTAGGCAATTATATATATATGATCAAAAAGGATTGAAAAGTAGAAAAATATCGTTACATGAGTCCTGGATAAAAGTTAAAAAACAAAGCAGGGAGAGAAACTAGAAAAATAACAGTACTGTCAAACAAATCGCTTTAGAGGGATTTTCAGAGCATTCATTCAGTTACAATAATCGCTAAAAGTAGGGTACTAAATTGACTTATTCTCTATGTACTTTGGTATCAGCCACACTCTAAATGTAACGGATAATGAAAGCACGCGATCGCTCAAAATTTAAGTAGTTGGAAAGGCATTCAAACATAGCAATAAACTAATGACCTAATTGTTAGTCTTGATTCTTCGGTATCATATCGACTGTTTTCGTTGTATTTTCACTTTTAGTTCACATTTTATTTAACAGATTCGTGCCTTATCTACAATGCTTCAACTTCCTATCGAAATATTACAAGCTGAAGGAGTCCCATTAATTATCGGAGAAGAGTTTTCTGAAGAGCCACCAATCACTATTGTGTAAGTTTATTAAAGTACAGATACTAATCATTTTTCATTTTCTTAGAATGTCAGTATATTATTATTCGTTTGCTTTATATATATATATATATATATATATATATATATATATATATATAATTATGGTTGAAGAAGTCATTCAGTTTTAATCAACATATAGCCGTTATGACATATTTCGAACCGTATCACTCAATATCTCTAACCACTTGTCACGGTTATCAAATGAAGTCCAACCAGATAGTTTTCACTGTCAACGTTGATCACATCATCAGCCAATGATTTCAGAGACTAATTCAACCACCCTAAACTTCCTCCCAACTTACTTTTACACTAATAAACATCCTCCGTCGAAGTATGCAATGTTTACCTACTTACGCCTGTTACTCGTGAAAGAGCATAGGCCGCTCACCAGCATTCTCCATCCAAATCTGTCCTAGGCAATCCTTTCCAGCTCTTTCCAGTTGTTATTCATCCTTTTCATATCTGCTTTTATTTTCCGACGTAATGTGTTCTTCGTCCTTCCTCTTTTCCGATTCCCTTCAGAATTCCATGTTAGGGCTTGCCTCGTGATGCAGTTTGATGATTTGCGTGACGTACGTCCTGTCCATTTCCATCGTCTCTTCCTAATTTCCTCTTCAGCTGGAAGCTGGTTCGTTCTCTCCCACAGAAGGCTGTTGCTGATGGTATTAGTCCAGTGGCTGTTGAGTATCTTGCGTAGACAACTATTAATAAATACTTGTACCTTCTTGATGGTGGTTGTTGTAGTTCTCCAGATTTCAGCTCCGTATAGTAGAACTGACTGTCTTGACGTTGGTATTGAAGATTGTGCCTTTGATATTGGTTGAAAGTTGTTTTGAGTTCCATATGTTCTTCCATTGTAGGAATGCGGCCCTTGCTTTGCCAATCCTCACCCTTATGTCTGCATCTGATCCTCCTCGTTCATCGATGTTGCTTCCAAGGTATATGAAGGATTCTACATCTTCTAGAGTTCCGCCATCAAATGTGATTGGATTGGTGTTCTCCGTGTTGTATTCGAGGACGTTAGTTTTCCCCTTGTGTATATTGAGCCCTACTGATGCAGAGACTGCTGCTCGACTGGCTGTCTTTATCTGCATTTGTTCGTGTGTATGCGACAGGAGGGCTAGGTCATCTGCGAAGTCCAAATCATCTAATTGGTTCTGAGCTGTCCATTGTATTCCGTGTTTTCCCTCGGATGTCGAGGTCTTCATAATCCAGTCGACCACCAGAAGAAAGAGGAAGGGAGAGAGTAGACAGCCTTGTCTGACTCTGGTCCTTACTTGGAATGCATCTTCCAGCTGGCCTCCATGCACTATTTTGCACTATAGTCCGTTGTATGAATTCCGGATGTTATTGACGATCTCAGATACTCCATAGTGTCAAAGAAGTTTCCATAATGTTCTATCTACACTGTCAAATGCCTTTTCATAATCAATGAAGTTGATGTATAGTGACGAGTACCACTCAACTGATTGTTCGACGATGATCCGTAGTGTCGTGATTCGGTCTGTACACAAGCGATCCTCACGGAATCTAGCCTGCTGATATCGAAGTTGGGCGTCTACTGCATCTTTCATCCGGTTCAGCAACACTGTTAAAGACTCTCCCTGGTACTGACAGTAGTGTGATTCCTCTGTAGTTTTCACATTTGTTCAGATCTCCTTTCTTTGGAATATTGATGAGGTGTCCCTCTTTCTAGTCCATCGGCTCTTGTTCCTCCTCTCAAATATCCTTGAATAGAAGGTGAAGCATGTTTGTAGTTAATTCGATGTCTGACTTCAGTGCTTCAGCTGGTATATTGTCGTGCCCTGCTGCTTTCCCGTTCTTGATTTGTCTGATGGCCATTCTGATTTCTTCCGTCGTTGGTGAATTGACATCTATATGAAAATCTGTGCGTGCTGTTTCGATGTCCGGTGGATTCATTGGAGCCGGCCTATTCGAGTTTCTCGAAGTATTCCACCCATCTGTTCCATTGTTGTTGAATTTCGGTGATTGGCCTGTCTTCTTTACCCTTGACCGGTTATGCAATGTTTGGGCGTACGTAACTCTTGTTCAAACCACCTCAGTCAATGAAAAATTACAACCTCACTAGCCGATTCACTATTTTTGCTCAGCATTATTTGCGTAATCTTAGCATCTGTCATTTAGGTAGGCATTGAGTATTAGATAAACATGACAAGTTGATAAGGCTGTGAGAAACAGTCTTGTACAATTGACCATTTTTTAGACTTTTGATCTGCTTTCTTGTTTACCCAATTTTTCTGTATTTTTTCGCATTAAAAAATCCTAACTTTCAGATACCACCGTTACGCGTTCGCCCTCGGTGAACACTACAATTCCTGTTTAAAGAAGCACGAATTTCAATGATGATTCTTAAGAGAAGAATGATAAAGGACTTCCATGTAAATAATAATTACTTAACCATTGTGTATATTATAACTGTGCTAATATTATTATTTGATCAAGATTAGCATTCGTTTTTCAAAGAGAAAGAGACTAAAATGCAATATAGTTTCATTGGGGTTCAAAATTTATTTTATTCAGTAATAACTCTCTTTACTGGAATAAAATACAACTCTGCGGATTTCACTATATTTTGTAAATGCTCTAATTTTCGTTGAAATTTGAGGAGTATTTCATTTGTTTTGTATATTTCTTGTAAACAATAATATTTTATATATTTGTGCTGCGACAATTTACTATTGTCACCATATTAGGGTGGGGAGGCTGGTGTAGCTTTAATGTATTACTATGTATCTCTAGGCAATTGTACTCTCCCAATTAACTGTAAATTAGGATTAAGGTTAGCAGTTAGTAAACAAATAGATTCAATATGTCCATTTTAACATAATTCTACAACTAGATGCAAGAGATAAAATGGTTGGTTAAGGTTAATTGCTCGCTCGAATGTTAGTTTGGAAGTAATGTCTCACTATGTTCATCAATTCACACTGATTAATATTTGAAATCGAATTACTACGAATTGGGACTCTATTAAACAAATTAACCTATAGCCAGTATAGTGACGATGCAAACGAATATCACACTGAATTAGTTCGCAGCTTACTGTAGAAACCTAGTTAATAGTGTCATGGAAATACGAAAGTCTCTACCAAGGAAGAAGAACAACTGATCTGTGCAGTCAAGCGCTTAAAACCATCCTACTAAGAAGACCCCTCATATTCGTATTACACTGCGGCGTGGTATAAAAGATAGCTGTGTGCAACTAGAATTTGCTTGTCACTCACGGCTCATTAGTCGAAGTCCATGAGATTTATATTCTCGTCGCTTATATCTGAAAAAAGAAGGAACCACTGCACTCATCACCACGCGAAATAACAACAACAGGACTGATACAAATATAGATTTCTTTGCTCCACAAGATGACGACCCTAGTTGAAAGTACACCCATTTCGATTACTAATTAGTATGAAATCACACATGAAAAATACCTAGAGATACGACAAATCACATTCTACTTGTCATGCTGAGCATGGTTCACGTTAATTTGATACAAGAATATCATACCTCAAATAGATTAGTGCCATGCCGAATGAAATATGGTTCATTGACATAACTCAGTTCAAATATACGGGAAGTCGGTTGCTTTGTAACTCACAAATTGCACAAAACATTGTGAGCTTATGGTGCGAAATGGGTAAATATAATTACGAACTAGACAGAATATACCGTAGCAGTACTTTCTCAAGCAGGTACAGTCACTAAGTACGACAACAACTACAGGTCACTGGGCGATTAGAACTTTGAGAATTAGATACTTGACAGAAAGACATCCCAAGAAATGCATGGGCAGTGTTCTGTCCCAGAAGGATGCACCGCATCGAGTTCCTCAGGAAATAATTAGTTCGAATAAGCTAGTCTTGTATTTAGTATGTAGCGTGCTTAGGTTCTTGGTCTCATATTGTTGAGTGACTTAATGCAATAATTGCCCATAAAATTCTCTTTCGTAGGTGGACAGCAAAACAAAGACGAGATTAGGGTTTATTATAAAAAGACAAAACACATATAAAGTAATATTTCTGCTTTATCACATTTTGGTCATCGTACTAGTATTCGATAGGTGACGCAAACCACCGGAGAAAGTCATCAAGGAGAATCCTGAACTGGGTTATAGTTTTCCTGCGGCGAAGGCTTACTGAGAGTCTAATCCACATGGATGAATAACGTCTGACAACTAAACTTTGGTGAAATGTTTTATAGGTTCACCGAATCAATAGAGTATGTTCTTTATTGCTCAGGTTGTGGTATGATGTGATGGAGTACAAAGAGGTGGATGCTAAAGATTAAAAAACATGCCATTTATGAGCCATTAGATAAAGGCAAGGTTTGGTTTAATGCGCCTGATTCAGAGACTCTAACTTGAGTTGATGATAATGCTCCTAAGCAGCTTTGGTGGATCTTCTTTGGAAAACTTCAATTTTCATCAAATCATTATCGCTGCAATTACTATAAACTAAACTGCCATATTCAACGATGGGTATGATACATTTATAGATAATATTAATCTAGATTCCGTGTTACTGAAATTTATTATTATAAATTCTATGAGATTTCTTGCTTTGGATGCTTGGGAAGCAATGTGCTTGGAGTTCTTACTGTTGCTATACCTCAAACCCAAATCATGAACGATGTTGAGAGGTTTCAGTGTGTGTTTGTGTTTAGCCAGATCTAGATTAGTGCTACGGCGAATGTAAATCCACTTTCGTCAACAGTCAATGACAGTGTTCACGACACAGATCGTTTGTATAAATTACTTATGTCTTCTTGGATTAACGCTGAATTTTACTTTTCCTTAGCAGAATACAAGAAAAAATAAACCACTTTAGGGTGGTAAACAAAAAGACGACATAAAAATTCAACTTTTCTAATATCTTGTCACTTTCCGTAGCTTTTTTGTTAACTTTAAATGTTGCTAGTAAACCTGTAGAATTATGGTCTACGATATATGAATGGTTGCACAGCCATTCATGCATCGATGTAAATGGACATTACCACTGTCGAATGCCGACTCACTGGTCTAAAGCTGATATGCTTGCGTGCGAGATCGAAGGGCCTGGATTTGAATCCCACCTGCAGAACTGTGGACGCGCATTGCTAAGGAGTGTCATGCTGGGACGTCCGTTACTTCCAGGTTTCCAATCGACCCATGAATTCAAGTTACTACAGTCCCACAAACCCCATATCCTTATTAGCCTTCAAGTGCCCTGGTAGGCCGAAGGTGGAGAGAGTCCGATCTCCTCAAAACGCTCTCACATGGCCGCTCGTACACACTCACTGCCAGGTAAGTCCGACTCACTGCCTTCTTGCGGAAGGTGTGTTGTTAACTAAATTGAGAGGATGGAAGGCGAATATGCAGTCTTCGTTCTTCTCCAGCCACACTTCAGAAAGTGATGAATAATGTAATCGGTGGTCCTGGAGGTGTTAAAGTTTATCAAGATGATCTCATTGTCCATTGTTCTAATAAGGTAGTACATGACCAGAGCCTTGTAGGATTATGATCTACCTCGTTATTAGTACCATTCTAATAATAGATTTAATCCCAAGGTTGTGGATTTTTCATGACGTAACTACCTTATCTATGAGATCCTACGTGTAAGTCATACCATTGTCTACACCAACTCATTGCATCGTGACAGTTATCAATATATGATGGAGAACAAACTTAGGCTAGAGATGGAACAATATATTGAATATGAATAAAAGATTATGTTACAACACCTAAGGGTGACCACACCTGCAAGGCTGCGCCATGCTGTCCGACCGATTCGAATCCACTGAATTTTTTCTTCTCGCCTTCTCTATCGTCGGGTTTTTCTCCGCATCAAATGTTGAATGTGTATTTTCCCAGTTGTCTACAAGACGTCTATATCTCATCAGAGAAACTTGTTGGTACTTTTGGTGTATACTCAATGTCATGCGGAAAGGTTAGATTGCTAATTTGAAGCGTAAATTTCCTGACTGTGATTAAATAGACTTTTTAGCGATGCAATCGCTGGTCTGTAGTGGCATTGGAACCTAGTCACCTGATCCTTAAAGTTAAAAACGAGATAACTGTGAAAATTCATATCCAACATTTGATGCGGAGAAAAACCCGACGATAGAGAAGGCGAGAAGAAAAAATTCAGTGGATTCGAATCGGTCGGACGGCATGGCGCAAACTTGCAGGTGTGGTCACTCTTAGGTGTTGTAACATAATCTCTTATTCATATTCAATTTATTGTTCTATCTCTGGCCCGACACGGATTGGACCCCACGGGTCACGGTTTTTCGCTAGAACTTCAATAATGAGCACATGATGATTATTATCATCATGGAGTTTGTGAAGATTGCAGTAATTTTAACAGAACGGAACAGCCATTCAGTGCTTTCAGGTTTTCACTAGTGGTCTAACTTACATCAAATCATAGATTCAACTATTAAAATAATATTTTTGTCATAATAACTATCAGCAACGTCAGGCCTAAACACACAGTCGCTCGAGACAAAAATCGTTCACGAATTTTGTTTCAGTTAGAAAATGAAATAAAAAGAGTTGACCTACATGATAATCTGCATTTAGTAAACAGTATTCAGGTTCGCGCCAATTATTTGTTTATTCATGATCAATGAAGTTTGAGTTGTTACCGATATCCGAGAATCATCTAAGGAATTGAATCAATAGCTAAATTAGAGGACAGGATTGAAGATGGAGAAACCACAATGGGTATTTCTGTCGAGCGATTAAAATTCTACGTGAAGCGTCGGGAGAAACGATTTTATCAGTTTGAATAGGGATCATAAAAGCCCTTGTGCAAAATATTTGTCTATCTCAGCTTAATCGCGCTCCTAGTGAACCGCAAATAACACAAACCTATTACGTCACTGATAACATTCATAAATATTACTTCGATAGCCTGGCCAATGTTACTTTTTTCTCATTGTTTAAGAAGTATGAAAATCCCCCCACTTTCAACGTTGCACACTGAATGAAGATTTAAAAGCCAGAAAACTGGTGAGATACATTGGAAAGTCGTAGTCAAGGAAATAACAGTAAGAAGAGAGGTATTTTTGACAACCGAAGTTTATGAACTTCCTCCTTGAATTGCAAAGAACAAGCTGCTAGATGCGATTTTGGTGATTAAATCTATGTGCAGCTACGTGATTGAAAAACTGCGCGAATCAACATGCGAGGTTTGAAAAGAGAGCTGGATGAACTTGATATACAGCCGGTGAATATTTCTAATACTTCGTTCAGTCGTCATGATGAAATACTATCTCAGGGTTGATCACACTTGCGTTTGTTCAATAGTGATTATATTTCTCTTAAAAATATGAAAGGTGATTCAACAAGGAATAGCGAAGCAAACCACATAGTTGAAAGAAAATTGGGTAAATGTTTATCCTGTAGGAAATATCATTTTCGTAATTCATATGCATTTTGTAATGCTAAATGTTTTAAATGTGGTAAGATTGGACATATTAAGTTGGTATTCAAAACCGCTGTTCGTTATGCTGCAAGTAATACTAAACCTTGCAATTAAGATTCCATTCATTCGAGGAATTCTAACGATAATCTATCTTTACCCACCATTTTGAAAGGTAATGCTCATATTCAAAAGCGATTGTATAAGTCCCTTGCTGCAGTTCACGACTTCATTGTGGAAACAGGTATAATAGAATCCATCATTTCATTCAGGAACCTGAAACCTTTAGTTTCCAACGTTGTAGTGCGACCCACCAATTTCTTAGTTTTGGAGATTACTGGACATAACTACCCAATACGAGGACGCTGTGAATTGCAATTGATAAGTGTTAATTCTTCATACATGCCTTGTGAGTTCTTAGTCAGTAAAACATGATAGATAATACTGGAGCCAGTCGTAGTGCCTTCACTACTGCGAGGAATTTCGCACGCGTGTGCTTGCACAAGTCGGCCTCAGAGTGGCAGAACCAGGCTTCGATGTTCTCTGGCCAGAGGGGCATTAATTGAAAAGGACGTGATAACATAGTCTTTAACTTACGTACCTTAGGTATCTTATCCATCATAGTGAGATATCACGTACAAGAATGAACGAGGAAATATATATATATATATATATATATATATTCAAAAACACAGAAACCTATACCACAATATATAAAAATTAATGTGAATTAATGATGTATAAAATCCCAGAAAGGAACTGACCAACACTTTGCATGTTGATGTATCAGGTCATATATGGCTCACCAATGGAGATGCCATATGCATCCGGAGTTCGACCAGTAACACCTAATATGAATCGTACCCACCAAGTGAAATCAAAAACAGAAGCGAGGAGGTTCGAAGATATATTAGATAGGCTACCAATATATCGAGGATCGTCTGATCTAATCTGGCTAGCGATTGCAGGGGCTGTTGAGCACGGCGTTCCCACTAGTGATCTGGTGCAAATCCATGACCGCGCGCTTTCAGCTATGTGAATCCAGTAAAACTAATGTGGTCAGCATAAAATGTCGAAGTTACAAAGCTATTTGTTTTAGGGATTTATTACCGCTACACAGTCCAATGCAACTACACATTCAACAAAATATATACTACCATGTTCACTAGAGTATACACAACTTTAATGGGAATCAAGCTTGAAAACTTCGTCCAGGCTGCAAGCCTCTGTTTGAAAGGTGACTTGGATATCCTAAAAATATACAGAGGGCAGCTAGACGTGCGATTCCAGAACTCCGGTCTTTACCATACAAAGAGCCGCTTGAAGAGCTATAATTCATTACTCTGCCCTATCGCAGAATAAGAGATGAGCTGATTTTTGATGTATACAATACTAAGAAATGCTTTTGGACCTAATGAATGCTCTCCATTTCTTCTCACTGGATCAGGACATTTCAGGGGACATACCAGGCGAATAGAAAATCCAAGAATGAACAAAATGCCCGTACCATACACATATTCACATCTAGTTTTCAATCCGTGGAACTTGTTACCCGAAGCAGTGGTGCCCACCTCCGCAATGGGCTCATTCACGCGAAGACTAGACACACTCAAAAGCTTACCAGAAAAATACTAACACAGGCCGTAAATCTACTGTCCTTACTACATACTTCTGAATCTGATATGAAACTGTTGTGATAGCTTTCGCTTAAAAAGTTTTTCCAGAAACTCCTTAAGAGAATCTTGATCTTCGATGGTTAACAAGCTACAATAATTGACTCGGCTCAACCGATTTATTACCCCGTGTGTTTTGAAAATTTACTGATGGCGCAAGGTCGTTAGTGTGTGTATATTTTACTGGGTTTGTTCTTCTCATAAAAAACTGTCTTTACAAAGTTGATGGAATTCTTCCCACAGTTATGAGACTTTTTTAATAAAATGCAAGAAACTGAAAATTCCAACGACCCTGATAAAAACGTCAGTCTTACTAAATCTGGAAGTTTGGGTGCTTAGCCGCATACTGAATCCATGGGTTTTCGTCGAGATTCGGGAAACCGTCATCAGTCTTTAGTATGCAAACGTTTATGCACATTAATGAACAAGATCCGAGTGGTCGATAATAGTTTTTAATCTCGAAACAATTTAGGGTTCTCGGTAATTAATCAACAGTTGTAGCACTTCGTTCTATTTCATGTATTCTAAGTCATATCTAGGTAAGGATATATGATATTTGGTGGGGTATTCACACTGAAAGATGCGTCGTAGATACTTTTCAGTATTCTCCATCTGTACTAAAAGCTTATAATACTTTAGGAAGTAAGTATTCTCCTTAACTAGCCTCACTACCTCTGAGTTTTAAAGTTAATTCATGATTAATACAAGCTATTGGTGTTATGTGAATTCATCCAGGTATTTTCATCCCAAAGGATAGACTCAGCTTAAACTCTGAGTAACTGATATTCCGATTTTGGTAGGTTACTTCGTTAAAACTATCTAAAACCGAAGCATGTTTCACACACAATAAAAAATTGTTAACCTAAGTAACGTTGTTCGTTTATTTTTGCGTAAGTTTGAAACATTTGGAAAATTATCAAGCCGAAGACTTATATCGACTGAATTGTGTCAATTGTCGGCGGTTAAAGCTGTATACTGTGACTACAGTCAATCAGTTCTTATCAACGTAGCATGTGGCACACGGGCATTTCCCAGGGTCGCCGTGCAAGAACTCCCTTGTGTGCTCGTAACGATGAAATTCTGTAATCATGAACTTAGGAATAACTAGTAATCAGTGAAAACTGCTCAAATACATTTCGTTCTGAGTATCCTATTATTTAATGCTTCGATTCATTATTATTTATTTATTTTAACACATAGATATTGGTACAAAGAGGCACCAAATACATATGCGCCACACAGATCTCATTAGGTTTGTGTGAGGGCTGTGATACTGCCCGGCTGCCCAAACCGAAGCAGGTGGTTTTCTTAGGGGGCCACTCCCCGAGCCTTCGACATGAAGGTCTGATTCACAAGGCAATGGAGCATCGTAAGGAGTTGCAGTCCCATGGGAGCCGGTGACCAACAATTGGTTTATACGCCATTTGTTCCTGTGGGATACTGGAGCCGATGTGCACCATTGGTTTGGAATCCGGTTAAGTCAGTCAATCGTAACAACGTAGAACTTCGTACGTATGTACATCAGTTCGAGTTGCCACACCACATTAGCACAGAGATGCAGTTGTCGATTCAAATCCCGTAGTGGTAGAGGTAATAAGAGTATAAGCAGTAATCGGGAAGATTAGGGTTTGGAGATGTTATTTAAAGAGTATGATACAGTGAAATAAATTTGGAAAGAGGAAAAAAGGGACATGAAGGATTCAGAAGATTAGAATTTGGGAGAACACAGAGAGTGGATGCACCTGCGCCATTGCAAACGATTTTGAGCCATGTCATTCAGGGTCTCTAACCATCGGTTGCTATCATCTCGCGGTCCCCAACCAGGTAGTCTACACCTACCAACATGACTCAGTTCACTTGTCAGTGACTTCATGGACTTGTGCCATGTTTTGGTTTGGCCGCCCCTAGCTTTCTTCCAACCTACTCCTATACCACTGAACATAGCACGTCGAGGCAGTCGGTCGTTGGGCATACGTAACACGTGTCCCAGCCATCTCAACTGATGAAGTTTCACTACTTCATCAATTGATTTGCCATCCTTACCTAGTACCCGTTTCCTAACAACTGTGTTACTTACTCGATGGTCCCATGATATACGAGCAATGTTTCGAAGACACCTATGATCAAATACTAGTAACCTACGAATATCCTCTACTCTTACCGGCCATGTTTCACTGCCATAAAGTAGGACGGAACGAACTGCTGCGCAGTAAACCCGTCCTTTGGTTGATAGACGGATATCTCGCCTACGCCATAAATGACGCAAGTTGGCGATAGCTAGTCGAGCCTTCTGTATCCGTGCTGAGATTTCGTCACACACTAAACCACAAGGGCTGATGAGACTTCCAAGATAAGTGAAGCGGTCGACACACTCAACTACTTCACTCCCTATCACTAGTTCGGGTGTCGATGTAACCCAATCCTGAAGCAACATTTTGCATTTCGAGGGAGAGAATCGCATCCCGAACATGCTTGCATTGTTGCTTAGAGTGGTCAGAAGACTCTGCATTTTGTTAAATTGCCGGACATTCGCTTTTCGTCCTCTCATTTTCGTAAACAACAGTAATGCCACGAGAATGCAGTGAGTAGGACTTCCCTGGCAGAGGCTATATACGCATGGCCATGTGAGAGCATTTCGAGAGGGAGAGCGAACTCTCTCCATTCTTGGCCGTACCAGGGCATTTGGGAGCATGCTTCGATTTACTACCTTATGTCTGTTACAAAATGAGCAACTAAAAATATTTCACTTTTGCTTTGTTCGAATGTGTTCAATCAATGTTTGGGGATTCGGTATCTTCCAACACAATAAAAGTCCTATTTTATTCGTACTCATAATCAGTATTACTACAAATCAATTTAGTTTTTCTTATTTCTCAAATATCCTCTCAAAACTCGGCCATCAGATTCGGACTAAAACCTATAAACAAATATATCGATAATAGTGTAAATAAAAGCTATATATCTACCAGACACTGATTCTCTACTTATATGATCTGTAAAAATTGAATTTAAGCCACCAAATGCCGTGGTACGGCCGAAGGTGTGGAGCGTCCGATCTCCCCGAAACGCTCTCACATGGCCGCTCGTATACATTCACTGCCAGGGAAGTCCTACTCCCTGCCTTCTTGCGGAGGGGGTGTTGCTAACTAAGTTGAAGATGAAAGGTGAGTGCCTAGCGCTTTAACCGGGTCAGTGGATATATGAGATGCATCAAGGGGAGCTTGGAAACCCTGATTCTAAACCAATGGTGCACATGTGCTCCAGGATCCTGTAGGAACAAATGGCAATCGAACAAATTGTTGGTCACCGGCTATCATGGGACTACACCTCTACTACCTTGTGGTTTAGAACTTTATATCAAAGGCTCAGGATGTGGCCCCATAAGATAAACACCTGCTTCGGTTTGGGCACTAGGGCAGTATCGCAGCCCACACACAAACCAAGTGACTTGTGTGGCGCATGTGTATCTGGTGCCCTCTCGTACCAATATTTGTGTGTTCAAATAAATAAACTTTTCCAATCAGTTATTCACCATCGTCAAACTGCAAATCTGAACTGGTTCTACTTCCACCCCTTAGTTTACAAAACTAAGCAGTACAAATCAAATCTTTACTCTCGAAATCAGGTTAAATGGGAGACCGTACTACTGTGTCTCAACGGTATAATTGATATACAGAAAGCTGTTTTTTTTAGTTGGTGAAATATGATATCTAGCGCAAGGTTTCAACTTTTACAGTCTTAACATAACATATTCCACTGTCTTTCAAGAATAGACTGAGTGCGTAAAAAAAATTCAGTTGCAAGGGAAACAAGTCCTTACAATTAGCTGTTTTTGCGATATTAAAATGTATAAGGAGCGAGCGTAGCATGTAAGATTTGCTTGTGCAATGCAACATAAGTTCAATAAGATACTCTCAAGTTATCTCAGATTTTAAAATTTATTAGCACTGAATACAGCATTCTCTTGTTAGTAGGATGTGTGGTAAGCGAGATTCTTGAGTAAATACGTCATTTGTGTTCATTGTATATCCATTCATTACTCCCCTTACTGTTTGTGTTATGCATTTCTTTTTCGAAAAATCTATGTTTAGACGTTGATATGCTTGACAAATGAACGATTCTCAAATTGTGGACTGCGGGAGAACAAGTGGATTTGAACGAATGATCCTGTTGATGAAAGCAAATCCTTTGATACCTGTTGGTAAGATACACTAAAATTATTATTCCCTTTCCAGGTGTGATTGTCACTGGAGCTCTGCTTATCCGCATGAAGTATGCTAGCCGTAAAGAATTCGGACACTTAATCTATTTACGTCCACTGAGTCAAGCAATTACATTTTCAATGATTATTTACACCGTATATACTACACCTGAAATTTTCAACAAAAGTTCCTGTAGGTTATCAAAATAAATAATTTCACGTAGTTCCGTGGATTTAAAGATACAAATAGTGACTTAAAAATCTTAATTATATAATTTTGCAGCTGTAATAAAAGGTCCTTTTTCTCGCAAAGTGACTTTACGATTTATATGAACACTTATTTAAAACACGAGTGCTCTTGCTATAGTGAAAGATCAAGAAATAAGCTGTATATAACCGCGTCACAATTTTGGTAGAAAATGTAGTACTAACTAGGAACATCCGACATTGGTGCCAATAAATGGTATGGTCACCGAGCTCTATATGTGGAACATGTCCATGCCACTTAAACCAGTGTCTTCACATCGTCCCAATACACCCAAATACACGTTGCCGAGCCTCAGAACTCCTCACACAGATAAATTCCAAAGGGCGTAATGTACACTTAAGAGGTTCATCCTTGTTGCCTTTGTAAATACATAGACTCATGCTTTTAAGGTACTTCTTGGTTTTAAGTTAAGGAGTTTTGTACAGTATTTCCGATGTAATCAGTGGTAAACTTTTCTACTGGTTATTGTATGAATTGTGTAGGCCTCTTTTAAGTCAGTCAGTCAGCTACAACGTAGGACCAGGCACATATGTGCATCGGTCCAGGTTGCACAAAAAGATGAACACCGGATTCATAGCAGTGGTTACGTCAAAGGTGGTAATATATAAGAGAAAGATTGCATATAGAGATATAATACAAGAAGAAAGAATTGGTTCGTAGAAAGAAAGATATGAAGCGATTTTAATCTCTTAGTTTAAGGGAAGACAGGGAGTGTATACGCCGACGCCATTGTGATCGATTCTGAGCCATGTCACCAAGAGTAAATAAATGCATAGCAATCACCTACTCTGGTGTAGTAAGATGGAATGTATGTGCACTACTGCATCCTATTTTAAGACAGTCTCAACACCCGAAGTCTAGAATTGTGCAAGTATTATGGAAAGCTGATTCTTTTCCAAAATATTCAAGCAGTACGTTCTCGTACCTCGGTTTACCAGGTCACTATCATTTCCACGTAATTTGAAGGCACTGCTTTGGTTTAAGCAACAAGTATATGTAAAACAACCACCCACAAACCATTGTGCATAGTAATATAGGTTCGACATATTTGTAGCAACTGCGGTCCGACATAGTATATAGACCAAATTGTGGTTATTAATAACCAGTATATATTTTCATTTTGTCATGACGGGTTGTTATTCCCTACTGCTATGACTTATCATATAGATACTTCATACGCTATTGAAATAAATAAAAACAAGATACTCAGATTGATGTGTAGTAATGAGAGTAAAATGTGATTGGTCGCTGAGCGTGAACAAAAGGGTACTCAGCCTGCTGACTATTAAATATGTGATTTCCCTTCATCTCAGTGATTCCTACTTCGGACTCACTAAGTGACTGCTTGTAATTGTGTTGAATAAAGTATTATCTCGTCTATACTCTAGTTGTCTATTCTGGATCTCATATAACGTGAATAGTCTGATTATTATGTGAACGTATTATTGTAACACGTGAGTGAGAAAAATATTTTCAACCATCCATTGTACCGCATATCTGTTTTGTTCTTTGCATTTACAACATCCCTCTAGTCGAATAAATAAGTTTTTAAGGGTCATGTATCCAGCAGTCATAACGGGGAAAAAATTTGTGTTTATTTATATACACGGACCAGTTCACTATGTAGGTTTTATGCTAACGGAAAAACTGTTGACCCGCATCGACATACACTACCACACTTGTGCTTTGCAGATTTTGTTGAACAATCTAGTTATGGATGCGCTCTGCTGAGAAGTCCCGTTATACAACGAACTAGTTGTTTAGTGCTTTCTATTTTGTAATAGTTTTTTTAACTAAAAACCAGTCAGTTATGTAAGCAACAAGACTCAACCATCTCCGCAAAACCTGAAGTAAAAAATTATGTCTGTCTTATCTTTATCTACTATAAGTAAATTAAACGATAAATCTAATACAGTGACAGTTAGTAGCCCTTGGACTTCAGTAGCAAACAAACAAAACTAATGTACACGTAAAACAGTGTGTGCAAATAACCATCCCCTGTCTGTAATTGCGATTTCTAATTAGTGAGTGATTTTTTGTGACTCGATATACTACAACCATATGGATATTATTAGATGCAATACAAGTAGTGCATCACACGAGAAATATGCTGATGGCGTAATCCTCAAGAGCTGTTGTACGGTCGAGGGTATGTAGGTTTCGTTGACAGTAGGAATACTTCCATATAAGCGCTTTTAATCTCTTCCACAAAAGTCCTTATTTCCACGACTTTTTGTGTTGAGTTCAAAAAGGCTTCGACACAGCAAAGCACATGAAGAATCAACCTTCTCTCTAGAGATCCTTTCATACGACCGCAAAACTACAGTCCTTTCAATGCAAATCTTAATGATAACCTTTCTGCATGCGAGAGTGGACGTACGGTGCTCAAATCCTTTGTATAGATAAAGGATCAACTTATAGGGGCTGAAACACTTTAAATCCAGACAGGTGCATAGAATTCCCAGGATCCGAGTAGACGAGCGAAACAGATCACTAAGGTCAACAATCATCACGCGGTCCTGCCTGCAGTTCCGCTGTCTTGTAAACTATACCTGCAGTTAATGGTCCCTTCAATTCCCGTTCATGTTCTGGTTGTGGATGAAATGGCATCTTGAATGCCTTCAACACACGCCCTTGACAATAGAGGGGTCTTTGATCCGTTGAATAGAGCTGCCCTGGGATCCCGTTGGAAGGGCGTAACTGGGAGGTTTATTACCACCTTAAAGCTACTATGAAAACATATTTCACACAAAGTGAGGCCATACAACCGTCTCTATTGTTCCACAACAACAGTGGGTTTATATATGATTGCCGAGTACCATCATTCCTATTCAGTTTTGCCATCGGCGACATACTAAAAACAAACCTGAAAGGAACATGTGTGGGGTTCATCCTTTCAGCATTGTCTTACTGCGAGATTACACAGTAGGTTGTACATTGAGCCCTATTAAAATCCCCAATACAACGCGAAACACTGTATATGCAAAACACGGTAGTTGAAAGGAAAGTTGAAAGTCGATTTCAAAGCCAATAATAATTTCTTACACAAAAATTATTGAGCACGTCATTATATACGTTATGTATATCTCATGTATTATAATATAAGGAAATAAAAAATATTTTCTCCAAAATCTGAATTTTTACCATTACCTTCATAGAATGGTATTTGTCATAAACACATAGAACACTAATCACAGTAGTCTTTTACGCTTGTTTTTGTTAAACCAAGAACGGCTGGGCAAAATAAAATGTAATGGGACTTGAAAAGTGTGCTGGTAGTCAGCATACCAAAAATAATGGAATATGATAAGCAGAAGAAATTAGTAACTTGTTTAGCGTTAATATTAACAATAAAGCTAACGATTTATTGTTTTTTTTTTGTATTGAATAAAATAAAGACATCTAATAAATACTTCAGAATATATATTTGTATATACACATCTTATAGACCAATCGACTCACATGTACAAGCAGTGAATGCAACAGGTCGTTTACTCCTTAACGAATAAAATGAACATAAAAGCCGTTTGACACACAAACACCAGAGATACGGCATCCATACACAGTTGAGCACTGCAAGTCTAAAATGACAGTCTTATCGAGCGGGGTAATATGCTAATGAAGTAAAAAAGTAACATTAAAAATACTCTTGATAAATCATATCATCAGCATGCGTATTACATGTTAATGAAACGTCAGGTGTCATCCGATAAGACTTCATTACTACACAAACTAGACCAAATTAATTCATTCAAAAATATGTGCCAATCGATATCCCATTCATCTTGGTTGACAACAGATGGTAATGCTGATCGGGAATCATTCATACAATGTCTTAAAGAAATAAATAACAATGATTCAATATAATAACTAACTAATAGCTTGGCTATTTATAAAATCAGTACTACTAAAAACAGTTGATTAAAATACAACTAGCATTGTGAATGGTTCAATTTCTCCTCTTAATAACTGGTTAAGATACAAAGTTGGAAAAGTTTGCAATTTTTATGGCAAATTTAGTGCTTTATGTTAATAATACTGGACTTTATTCTAGTTTAACTGCAAAAGTATACTCAGTTTCAAAGAGTAATCAATGTATTTCCAACATGTTTTAAAGATCCTGAGTGTAATTTATCGAATGCCCAAATGCCCTGGTACGGCCGAGAGTAGGGAAAGTCCGCTCTCCCTCTCGAAATGCTCTCACATGGCCATGCGTATATAGCCTCTGACAGGGAAGTCCTGCTCACTGCATTCTTGTGGCATTGCTGTTGTTTACGAAAATGAGAGGACGAAAAGCGAATGTCCGGCGCTTTAACCGGATCCCAAACCAATGGTGCACATCGGCTCCAGTATCCCACGGGAACAAATGGCGTATGAACCAATTGTTGGTCACCGGCTCCCATAGGACTGCAACTCCTTACGATGCTCCATTGCCTTGTGAATCAGACCTTCAGGTCGAAGGCTCGGGGAGTGGCCCCCTAAGAAAACCACCTGCTTCGGTTTGGGCAGCCGGGCAGTATCACAGCCCTCACACAAACCTAATGAGATCTGTGTGGCGCATATGTATTTGGTGCCTCTTTGTACCAATATCTATGTGTTGAGATAAATAAATATTTTATCGAAATACTTACTTAATAATTTGTAATCTTTAATTGTTTTTTGATCGTTAACATATTTCAAACAGAAAGAATGCAGATCTATCAAGACCATGTAAACTTGTTACCAACATTAAATGCTACTATTATTGAGTTGTCAAAATGATTTATTTGTTTGTATTGTAGTACATACACAACACTTTTATGTAATCATTTTACAAACTTTGTGCAGATTGTTCGACTCCCATTCTGTAGTGGGATGAGTAGTAGCTGTGTTCGTTGAGTCCATGGGTTGAACATGACTATAATTTGGAAGTTAGTCTGGTAGTCATTCACTTTCGAAGTACATATACGCCTACACGTAAATCAAAGGCGTGAAACACAAAACCTCGTCATATGAGTATACTTACTTTTTTATTTCAGAGATGCGATAATCAACTATGTCA